GCTAAATTGAATTAAAACGATAATCGACAATTGTTATATTCTCGAATATCAAGTATTAATAAAATGGTGTAATGACTGTTGCGATTATCGTGATAGCACCAGCACGATACAAGAACAAGAACGTWTAGTGAGAGTCCGAACACAAGGTTTAGTCGTGTGCGATTGTCCTATAGTGTGGTTTTTGTTTTACATCGGTTTCCATTAATTTTAAAATGCCAAAAGTCGGAACGAATCGAATTTGTAGTTATGTGGCCGAATTTGGTGAAAATATATTTGCATCCGATGAAGGATAAAATTTTTTGACATTTTGTAAAATGTGCGAAATAAAGGTGAACAGTGAAATAAAATTGTGCTTGTTTTTTCCCATATTTTTATATTTTTATAATTTTTTTTTACCAAAAAAGAAAATAACGTTTTTTTAAAAAAAAAATGCATATTTAGCACATATTTTATTGATCTTAAGCGCATATTTGCATGCATATTTTGATAGTTTTTTGTGCAYGAACTTCCGGGCCCTAGTGATAACACATGCAGCCATGCGGGTATCACGTCCTCTTAATCTACTGATATACTAAACTATTTACTTACCTTCTAATATGTTTATGTTTAGTATATCCATCATATACTCTAGTCCTGGACATTTTTGATTTTGTTTGAAATCAATATTATCTAAACATAAAGATAAAAAATAAACATCATCTAAAATCTAAGTAGTGAGTTAGTAGTATATAATATTATAAAATCCAAATTCAACATAATATTTTATGTCACATCAAACCCAAGTTTTTAATTAATTAATTAAAAATATTATTCAACAGTAGTTTAGCTGTAAATAACACATTGAGTAACTTTTAATCATAAACTATTAAAGAAAATTAACATTTAATAAGAATATTTAAAATTTAAATTACAAATATTTGTTTTAGATAATTCTGAAATGATAAATTAWAGTGATATTCCATTGTCTTATACAAAATTATTTTTAACGTTTATCAATATAAAACAATCTAAATTGAATAATTCATTAAGAACTACTGACATATTAACATGCTTATAATAATTATAGGCGGAGGTCGCAAGGCATGCAAAACAATTGGGCAATTTCAAGCAAAGTAAGACTTTCCTTAAATTAATCTACATCCTAATGATTTAGATTTTTAGATTTTTTTCTATAGGATTTATAACAAGCCGCACGAAGATGCAATTGAACAGGAATCTGATCTTTAGTTATAAAGGTAGGTTTAGGTACCTAATTGTTATAATATTATTTGAAGTTTACCAAACAGAATTTTATAGGCCCGAGTCATTGAAAATGATCTGCTGTGATATGCTTGAAAAAATATTGTGTAGTATGAAATTTATTTGTAAAATGAAATAGTTTGATTACACGGGTGACGGGTTACAGGGATGGATACTGAATAGGTGTACTGATATAGTTTTTTTTTCAATGAACTAGAAACATAAATAATAGCATTACACTATAATACTAAGTTATAAATAATGTATAATTTTGCAATTAAAATAAATTTAGGTATAATTCATTCATTAATTAGGTATATTCTTATGGTTAATATAAATAATTATAATTTTACTAAATGAGAAGAAATTTATCCATATACTGAGTATTAACTATTAGGTAATGTAATATGCATAAGCTCATAAAAAAATACTAGGATTTTCTTACCTAATTAATTCTTATAATTTAAGGTGAAATACAAGTCTCTCAAAAGTAACTTAAAAAAAAAAATATGCATCAGCCATTCACTTCAAAAGCAAGTACTGGACATTAGACTATTACAGTAATTTTAAAATACCAGAGCTATATATATAATAATATATATATAACTATACATAAACATCATACATTCACATTGTTTTAGTATTACCATTATTAGTCTAAATTCAATTTTTTCAAATTGTTATTTAAAAAAAAACAATTTTCTTCTAGTAAAAATATTTTTACCAAATACTATTTTAATATTTCAAAAAAATATTAGTTTTATAACAATATTGTTAAACATAATTATTATTTTCATTTTTTGTACTTTATTTCAATAACAATAAAGATAGGTATGCTATGTAATGTAAAATATCATGATCTTAAATAATTTTTGTGATATGTACCTATTTGCTTCTCAAAATAAGTATTTTTGCCTAGTTAAGAAAAAAAAATCATGAAAATTCTATATATTATACCCCAATGTTACAGTCAGGGAATTTGTAACTAGCGCTGTTAGTTTGCTATTACACCATTTCTAGTCAATTGATAAGAGACATGTAAAAATACCTATATTCTTTAGCTAATGAATGTATTAATAAAAGCATCAAATCTTGGTAAGAATCTATGTTTTTTAGCAATAACAGTGTAGAGTAGTAACATAAAGTGCGTTACTCGTTACTGTAACATGTTACACTTTTCAGTAACGTTATGGTAACTTTGTTATTATTATTTTTGAGTAACGCTAGAACAACTACGTTAATTATTTAGAAGTAACTTAGCAGAATGCGTTAAATTATAAATCAAATTTTTTTTGCGTTGGGGAGTGTTACATTTCCTTTCCATCAGAGGATTTAATTATATTAATAATTTAAGTAAGTATTTGTGTATTATGTAATTACAAAATTCTCCCCAGTGTAATCTAATATAATCATATATATTAACGATTTTGTGTTAATATTATTTTCAATTTAACTAATTATAAACATCAATTACAGCCTATGATTTTCTCTTTAGTGAAGAGTTAGTTTCTGATCAACCCAATGATGAAGTGGAACGTTATTATAATACAGTTTATATAGGCGATTTAAACATTTTAAACAGATTACCTAGGAATTAGGATGAGACAAATTTTTGTGAAGTTTAATAAGTCACTTCMTCCAATCGCTTCTGACAAAAGGCTCTTTAATGTAGCTGGAGATATTTGTACAACAAAAAGGAGCTAAAATAAAAATAACTGATCAACATTTTGAAAATACATTATTGTTATAAAAGATTGATTTAAAATACTTTTTTTTAAGAAACTTACATAACATAGGTAATGTTATAGTAACAATGTAACTAGTTACTTTTGAGTAAAAAAATTATATGTTACGCATTAATTTTGTACTTGAGTAACTAACAAGTACCTAATCTAGTTACCTATTTTATTTTCTAACTCGTAATGTAACATGGTCACTTTTAAAAAGTAACTTACCAACACTGAGCATTGAAAGTTCTAAAACCCAACTAAAATTATCACTATAAGAAGTTTTGATTTTCAAGTTAATAGTGTAATTAATAATAATTTTCATACACTTTAAATGTTTCCAAAAGGTTATAGGGTTAAACATAATATAGGCATTGAATAGAAAGAAGATAGGTAATACAAGTATTATATTTGTAGATTTGTTAGGAAATTATTTTTATAAATTCAGAATATTAAAAAAAACATTCTTAATCACAATATTAGAATTATTAATATTTTAGGTATTAGCTTAATTGTATATTAACTATGGAATTGTATGTTTTAAAAAAGATTTAAATCATATATTTTCCCACAAAACATATCATTAAAATATACCTTAACTAAACATACCTTAACTTTACTCTGACAGCTAACTCTATTCTGAACTTTTGTTTATAATGTTAATTCTATTATTACAAAGAAAAAATTATTTTATAAAAACTATATTAGTCTATTATCTAATAGGCTTTAATTTATCTCATATGTATAAATACTATGAATAAGGAAAACTATCAAATTAAATCTGTTTTGTATTCTATTAGTTTCATAAGTGTAACTTGTATTAATTGTAATTGCACAATTTTGTTAATCATTTAAATTAAATACATTAAAATATATAAATATTTAAAACAATTTAAGACGCATGTCAATATTTCAGTTTAATATAACTGTCCAGTATAACAACTGTTTTAAATACTAATGCACTATGCAGTTAAAAAATTTAAAAACGATTAAATTTCAAACCGTTTTAACGCCATCATATAAACGTGGTAAATAAATGTATATAGGTATTAAATATACCTAAATATAATGGAATGTAGTACCTAACATAAACTTACTGCAATAATGCGGACAATAAGGGCTTTAATTAGGAAAATAAATTAATTTCGTACCGATATCTCCATGAATATTTTTCAATAAAATTAAAGCCATAATAACATTGACGAGTCGAAAACACGACCGCCCGTGCATAACTTCTGAAAACGTGTAAACTTACGTAAATAATAACAATCAGCTCACAGCTCAAGCGGGACAGCGCTTTCCGGACGGTATTTCAACATTAGTCGATCAAAAAAAAAAATCAAAGTATTCTTCGAGACTTTAACGCGTGAAGTAATTAATCAGTAATTAATCAGTAAATACCGAGGCACGAATTATTAGTAAATAATAATGCGCTCGCGTGCGCGCGTTTGACGATGTGGACATGTGGTGAAGTAGTCGTCACTGGTCAGTGGTCGTCGACCGTCGCGCGTCTCGAACAGTTCGCGCAACAAAAATACACCACAATAATAATAATATTGTTTATAAATGCAATATTATTTTGCTCGCCTGCCCATTTCTTGGCGGTATAACGATAGTGAATTCCCAATGATAATAATAATAATTGGTAAAGAGCGGTTGATCCAAACCATATAGTAATATTATTACTTATTTACGCGTATCGCTATTTTAATCGCCGCCCAATTAAAACAGTGTTCGCCATAGATAAGTATAATTATGGTGGTCGCGTCCGGACCTGTTTGTAGCTTTTGCCGTGCGCGCCGGAGACGGTACCGACGAGACGTCGTTTCTTGCGGTTATTTCGGTTATTTCGGAAACGGAAATTTCCGATCGACCAATCGTAGTGGGCTGCTTGCACCGAAGTATAGCCGCCGCGCGCCGGGGGAACGGCGATGACTGATGATTATTTTTACGCACATTTCATTAGGTTCCTATTGTTCCTAACGGAGCGAATACAAAATATATTATAATAACAATAATAATACTATTACGTATTGGTTTTACAGATTGGATGTATTTTTTGATTTTTTCCGGAGCAGTCGAAATGTACCGATTTTCTTCTTCAGCACATATTTCCTGGTATAAGTAACCGGATTTGATTGATTGGTACTTTGAGCGGGTTTAACGCAAAAAAAGTCCACTAATTTTTCCTGAACGTCGGGAATAGGGTTGTCAACTTTTAAAATTTCTAAAACTGGACACCAACTGATAACCTTTTTTTTTAGTCGTCATTAACTTAATTTATGATTAATGATTATAAATATAATTAATATAATAAATTAAGTGCTACTCTTTGCTATTTTTAAAGTTGTATTTTTTTTCGCTTTTTGCCGCCTTTATAAGCTTATGTGACCCACTTTTTGTTTCCAAAAATTAACAAAATATTATATTATCCAAAAGTTAATAGTTAATACCTACTTGTCGCTATCACATAAATACATCGAGGAACTCTGGAAAAACCTGGACATTTAGGTATAACTGTACACTAGACAGGAACCAGAAAATGTCCAAGCAACCATAGTCGGGAAAAACAAAAAAAATTATGGAAAAATGGAAATCATTACGCAAAATCAATTTTTTTGACTCGATCGATTTTTTTTCGTGTAACTCAATAACTATAAAAACTGTAAATTAGTACTTTTTTTCTATGCATGATAAAATTTTAAACATATTTCGACTCCTTTTAAACTATCCATATTCCATAGCCATTAGAAATTTTTAATTTTTTTTTTTTTGTTCAACTGTTGTCGATAACTAATTTTTGCTTCATCAAAAAACATGAAAATGTAATACGATGAAGTTCTACATACATTTTCAAATGTATTATTCAAATGTGAATTTTTACGTGTGAATTTAAAATTTTTACAACAGTCGATATTCATCGCTAAAATTGCCCGACCAAAATTCATCAAAAAAATCACTCAAAACCAATTGATGTGCGCTTTTCGGAAACGTGGCCCTTGACGCGGCGGCCGCGGTGACTTCGATTTCGACGTACACCGCACGGACGGCTGGTCGGCGGTCTCATGCAACAACACTCCGCGATCCGAGTGATCCGACCGACCTATTTGGTCGTCCGACAAAATAGTCGACATACGGTTCATTAATATGTCGTGGTCCGTAGGTGTTGAGTGCATCTATAGTAGTACCTATATGGCTATATGTATAATAATGACAATGTAATGATGTTGATGTATATAGTATAGGTAATAATTATTAGGCTTCAAATTATTATCTAGTTAACTAGAACACGGATTTATATGCATTAAAAACCAACCAAATATGCGCTCTAAAACATCTTAAATGCCTACGCATAAATATAATATATGCACTAAAAATTTATTTTTCAAACATTTAATTAAAATACAATATATTTGAAAATATTTTCTTATCTTGGTATACGTATTTTATTTCCCGGATTATTGATCTAAGGTCAAATTTGAGAAAACCGTTTATATGCTATATCTGTTATATGCATAATACGTATACCTATTAATTTATGTTGATATTAATCGAAACTAAAAAAATATAATATTTTTTTTTTATATTATAATACTATGTTTTTCAAAAATGTCTAAAAAAACATCGAAATATGCGATTAAAATTGTAAAATAAGCCCTTATAATAGAAAAATGTCGAAATATGCGCTAAACAAGTTTCATGTTTTAAATCGTTATAATAATATTATGTCATGAAACAAATGATTTGTTCACTCAAGCATATTATACGATTAGCCAGAATAAATATGCACATGCACATACAAATCCGCGCTCTAAAATAGTACCTACCTTTATTGTTGCAAGCTACCAGCAGCGATCCAGAGGTTAGTGGGTTTTTTTTTTATTGTTGATAGACAATTACATGTGTCGTATGCTATCTACATCATTAATAAAGTTATCTACACATTTTTCCATTTTATTTTTAATACATTAACAACTATTCTTATGATTGTATTCGTATGTCATAATTATTAATTATATTGTGCTTCGTCGTTCAATAATTAATTCATCTTAAAGACTTAAAAGTTAAAATATCAAATTTTCTACACCGATTTGTTGACCACAGCATAAATTTCATAAACCCACATACAGGTGCACTATAGGCTCAAACACAAACAATCGAGTTTTTATGGGACACGTAAAAATGAATTATAATATCACGCGGAGCAACAAACTTACTCAAAAAGTAGCTACAGAAATAATGGTGGTAGTCATGGCCTCGTGGATGCCCATTAGGGAGCATATTATATATAATTTAATTATGTTTCACATTATATCAATGTTTAAAGAGTAAAAATATGTTTTTGTAATTTGTAAACTATCGGGTATTGTCACTGCTGTATCAAGAAACTAACGATACATGTAATTGGTTTTTATTTTTGTTTAATTTTAGTGTTGGTATCTATTTTTTCCCTGAAATTACATCGTCGTCGATAATAACATCATACTATAGGTAATGGACAATATAATATAATATTGTAATATTATTTATGTTACTTAATATAATTGATTTGATAACATGAAACGTTTTTTTAATATAAAAATATTTTCTGATATAGGTACCTAAAGGTACAGTGTATTCCTAAGGAAGACAGAAAAAAATAAAATTATTTTTATCACTTTTTTCATCTTAACTTTGATCATTATGTTTAAATATAATTATTTTGTTAATCTTAATTATTATATAGCCTATATATATGACTATGTTTACTATTAAACAATCATCAGTTAATGCAACACTTCTCTCTAATGGAAATCAAAATAATGAATGACAATTATCCAGTACAACATAATACGAGTATTAAGTTACACAGGAAATTCTTATGAAAAACTATTTTTAGTATACTTACCTATGTAATATTATTATTATGTTACAGTTCTATGCCAGAGACACGGCTACAAAATAATTTAGTGTCTAACAGTGGTTGTAGGTGAATGAAATATTTAAATCATAGATCTATAACTATATAAGCAATTGACGGAGCTTTAGAAAGAGAAATATATAGGACAAGATAGTTGAGAGAGAAATAACTGTGCGTTGGGATACCGATCTATAAAGAAATTAAAAAAAACTCTATTACTCTAATATGATGTAGGAAGTTTCAGTGGTTTCTCACTCAATACCTCTCGGTTCTCGTCCCCATTACGAACTTTTGGCAAGGTGTTGCGTTAGAGTGGTAGACGCTGTCAGGTGTTCATTTTTTTTTTTTTTTTT